CTCAGGCCTATCATTAGTGAGATATAATCGCTTATTGTTTAAAAACTATTATAGCCTCGACATTTTCGTATTAGAATTTTCGTCCTGAAATTTTCTAAAGAATCTGTTATTAAAAGGATATCCGGTGGTTTCAGTACATCCTGTAGAATATTTGATTGAAATATTCTGAAATTAAGAATACTTGCGCCAGAAGAATATTCATAGGACTATGTGTGCTATCTGGGTAGTTTGCGGTGATTGGCTCACGTAGATTTCTAGTTAATAGTTAAGTATTAATAAATATTTGTTGGCAACTTGCAAAATTATGTGAGAACTATTTTTACTGTTCGTGAAAAGAAAATAGGCGTTTTCGACCTTGATTCCGTCTGCAAGGATGCGTATAAAGGACCCTATATTTATTTTACGGATAAAATTTCAGAAATATCGGTCTGGAATTTTATTTCGGTATGTCAGATCGCATGTTACGCGAGGCTGTTGATTTACATCGTACGCCAGGGAGTTAATTTCTCTGCGTTCGCGGCAATGGAAACATCGGCTTTTCGTTGTCGTGCTTTTCGAGCGGAACAAAAGCCGCCTTTCTCCCATCCGCGTCTGGCCCGCCCGTCGACAAAATATAGATGTTAATATTTGTCTCCTGATTCTCACCTAAGCAGGTGTTAGGCATAAGCGCTCCATTGTCGGATTTAGAATCGCCCACGCGCCCCAGATCTCAGATCTGTAGATGCTCCGTGCCGCCGCATGCGTTCTACGGCTCGGCATAATTTTGCGTAATAACCCGCCAATGCGTGTGTAGCTTTGTGTCATGTGTGTAAACATTAAAGCGTGGCGCGGAAACGTGACGGGTATTTCAACAGATCTTTCATATTCTCAATTTCAGAAAACGTTCCTCCTCTTCATATACTGCGGTATTGCGATAAATATTACCGCGTGTTTCAGTGGTTTCGAATTAGCACGATACCCTTCCCGGATAGTAGGAAAGTCTCCAGGTTCGAATCCTGACCGAGGTAATATTGTATATATTTTACGCAATGAATTCTTTACAGTTCGTCTCCACGCAGAGAGAATTTTCTCTTAAAATTTATCCTGAAAATCGTGGGACAGCACGGCACTTTTTAAGAACCTTGTGAAGTATTTTTAATTTTACCATACATTTTACTCGAGGGGTAAACCGCCGAGGGCATTGTGGTGTACAGATCTACGGCATTACTGGGCATTAGTTTGGGCATTAGGCCATGCTGGGGCATTGTAAAGATAAAATACTATAAGATAAAACAAGATACATCTCACTTTGTATGAGATAGAAATCATGATATAGAAAATTATCGGTTAATCGGATAAGAGAGAGAGATGGAGATAGAGATAGAGATAGAGAGAGGGGGGGGAGGGGGGAGAGTCACTTAACAGAACCTCTGTCTCAGCGACATCGAGAACAATAGGAGACAATAGGACCGCTTGTTCCAGTGTATTGTAGAAGTTCACTGAGATCAACATATGTAAAATTGATTATCAATTTAATTAGGTGTACTATTTCGGTGTCAACCTCGGACTGTGCAGACCGAAAGTTATCGACCCGCAGTTTGCGCTGTTGAAATAAGACGAAGACGTAGCATAAATGATTGGGCATTAAGATCCAGCCTGCTCGTACAAGGCGTTTCTATTATTCGTGTTTTTCATATTCTCATCTCGTCCGAACGCGGGCTACTTTCAATGGTTTTCTGCCGCTGCGGCACTTCCGCATCTGTCCCCTGTGCTTCTTTATCAATGGCACACTTTTCGTAAACGCGGCTAAGTCTCCTCTTCACGGCCGCCGATCGAAACGTAACTTTCGTGCTGCCGGGGCCGTTTTTGCGTGGTCGTATTAAAAACTCCTTGACGACGCTTCTTCAATAGCGAGAGCTTTCAGCACGCGTCTTGGTCCGTGCCACGCTCGCAAGGAGGGCAGCGGGATAGAGAAAAAAAAAACGTACAAAGAACCATCCGGGCGACCGTCAAATTTATATCGGCCTCGTGGATT